GCAAAGGGAGGGCTGCCGCCCGGTCCAGGAGGCATCATAGGACCAGCGCCAAGCCCGTGGCCACCAAAGCCGCCCATCGGGAAACCGCCGCCGCCGGAAAACATTCCCGGCGCTAGGCCCTGCCCGAAGTTCTGAGCAGCAGCCCCATTGGCATTGAGGGCTAACAGAGAAAAAGATGACCAACCAGCACGTGAGAATCGATAAACACACCCTTCTCGCTCGCTGCCACAACTCACCAAATGCCAAAAGAATAGAGGAGAGGAGAGCTTGGGCCTTCATTGCTGGAATATATGGACGGACCTGCCGGTGTAGGCTCTTTGGATATGGGAAAGGGAAGCGGGAGGATGTGATGTGCTCGACCAGCGAGGCTCGGTGAAGTGGGAGAAGTTGGGTTGGAGATGGGGTGGGTGCAGAATTGAAGTTAGGGAGTCGCTGCTAGGATTGCGTCTATTTGTATGATACCGCGAACGAATCGCTCGTCAAGCCCTTTAAGTTGAACGTCTCAGCAAACTGGTTGAAGAGTCTTTTGAGTTGTGGAGTGTGGTCCCAAGCCCCACAAGGCCACAAGATGGGAAAGGATCTGATTGGGTTCTACTGTCAGCTCACATGCGTGGTCCGCTGTAAAAGGATGCATGCGGCAAACTATAATTCAGCCGTTGGCCCCACACCAGCCCCGCCTCACCCTGCCGCGCACCGCGCGTGCTTCATGGGCAGCCACTGTGCCATGACCCATTCACTAATCTTGTTGTCGGGAGCTCCGGTTATGGTGTGGCGCTACTTCTGCACTACGAAGCATCGGCCTTACACAGTAGGCTGAATGTTGATTTTAGCGCATTAGTGCAGCTGAAACGAGGTGGGGCATCGAACGTAAGCACATCTGCAAGTTCGCTGCGGGCGTCGAGCAGTGATGATCTGATCTCGCCGCTTTCGGGATGTCTCCAAAGCCCACACACATGCCAAACGAGAGAGGCCACACGGCGCGAACTGACGAGTGAATGTGTAGTGAAGGATGGAGGTGGTGTTGACGTATGAAAAAAGGCGTTATGTGCATCGAGGCCCGAGCCCATGATAATGAACTACATTGTACAACATGGAGCATGCAGCACACGAGATTTCGCCTTCGCTTTTAGCTCCAACCGCATTGCGGTTTCACAAGATGCAAGAATCCATATAATAGGACGAGGATGAATGAAATGGTGAGACAGTCGCCTGTGGGGTGTGAATCTGATGCCGGACACGCCATCTGATCTACATCCATGCGAAGAGCCGTTGCGCGCCTCAATAGCGACCACCGACTATGCCGTTTGACTCTGATGATGTCAGCGATCACTGTCGTTGAATGGAAAGAGTCGAGAGATAAGATCCGTCCTAGTTCACATACGTCCACGTCGCATCTACATTGCGTGTATGCGATCAATCTCCTTCGTCTGCAGAGCTTTCATCCCCAGCATGCTCCACCTGCAGAGCTGCGAACATGCTCGTCGCTGGCCGAAATGAAGCTGTCACCTGAGCTTTTTCATCCACGTCGCTCAGGTCTGACTCGCCAGTCTCCATTTCGCTTAGCGTACGGTGTCCCACGTCATCGCTAAAGCGAACGGCTTTACCATCGGAAGCAAGCATGTGTTCGTCGTGGCTAGCTTCTTCGATCTCCTGTACTGCATCCTCGGCGTAAAATCCTCCCTCCTGAACTTCTTCAACATCAGCGTCGGAGCGAAGCCAGATACCTTGCTCGGTACTCTCGTCTTCCTGCGATGTGGGATGAGCCGGCCGGAACGCCCACTTAATGCGTCCTTCGGCCAAAGCGCGCAAAACCATATTGGCTGCACGGTTGGTGTCTGCGCGCCCAGCTTTGGCAGTCTTGAAGTTGTATCTTGTCGCAAGCGCTTCCAACACATAAATTGCCGTCAAAGGGTTATCTTTCCCTGATTCTGAACCTCGCTTGCCTTCGCCTTTCAGCCGGTAGATTACCTCAAGCGGCAGACGGTGCGCGGCGTACTCGACGCAGGAAGCTGCAGCTTGGACTTGCGAGATCTGCAAGATTCCGCAAAGCACCTGTATCTCCATACCGACAAGGGAAGGAAACACCAGTCCAGGTGAGTCACATAGCATGACGCGCGATGACAGGTGGCCATACATAGACGCTTGCTGCTGTCGCGGGCAGTCCAGCAGCAGATGGGTCTGGTAGTGCTTTGTCTTTCCAGGCGTCTTGCTCGCGCGCACCTTTTGGACGCCGAGAAGCGCATTGATCAAGCTGGACTTTCCGACATTTGGCTGTCCGATCAGTCCAATGCAGAGGTCCGCTCCCAGGTGCCCAACTGCCGCACTTGTATCGCACCCCTTACATACAGCCGGGTCCGAGACGTGTCGAGATGCTTGTGCACCCTCCATTCCTGCCCTGGTTTCTTCATGTGCCTGATTACGCAGGGTATCCCAGTCGATAGATCCGAGACGCCGGCCCTCATCTTGGCTGCTCTGTTCGTGATGCCATCGGCGCAGTGCATCCGGATCTTTCGACATATGTTCCGGCGGTTCGACAAGCTTATTGTACGCTGTTTGTATGGCGTCGATAAGGGCGATTCGAGATTCAGGGCTGATTGAAGATTGAAACCGTATGCGAGATCCTGCAGGAGCACCATTAAGAAAGGGCACAGTTCAGAGTTAGCGGCGTCACTTCCTTGGTGCATTTTGCCTCACTCGCCTTGTCCCTCGTGAGCCTCTCTCTGAACATAGCTGGAGGTGAGGACGACCTGCCACTGTGGGTATTTCTGCTTAAGCCATGCTTGCCACACTGCCGCTACATCCGCAGTGACGAGGTCCACTTTGGTAAGCACGAGCACGGTGCGTCGCCGCCTCGTATGTCCTTGGCGAAACAGATAATCTTCCAGCGAGGGCGGCAAGTGGATCGGGGGACAGCGGGTATCTAGGAGCACTAGGAGAATCTGGACGCGGTCTACCACTCGCCAAAGCTGCTGGTAGACTTCGAGATTGCGTTCGAACAGCGAGGGGATGACAGCAGCGGCAAGAGTGGCAGCATCGTCGTCTACATTATGTTCCGCTGCCCGGCCTTTCCCTTTCACCGTCAGCGCATCTTTGAAGCATCTTTGCACCTCTTCGTCGGTCTTTTCAAGCCAATTTCGAAAAGCCTCGGCTTCGTTCGATTGGACAGCCTTAGCTGAGAGTTCGTGAGACCAGCGTGGCTTCTTTGGAAGCGTCAGCAAGGGCCTCGACCGGCTCGTTTTCTTTGATACACTCTCCGAGTCAGAGCTGCCTCCTCGAGCTACATTGTTCTCTGGATGAGAATACAAAGTCAGAACTCTGGGGATCGGACGCGCCAGGACGGTATATGTCGCATGTAGATTGAGTTGTAGGAGCGCATCGGGTCCCAATTTGGCGAATGACGATTCTTCACGTTTGGCAATGTCTGTCAGAACTTGCCGCCTCTTGTGCTTTGCTATTTGACGCGTCCCCTTTTGCCCTATCTGGGTGCTTCCCTTCTTGCCCATTTCGCCTGTGGGGTTTGCCCTACTTCAATGAAAGCCGTGTTCTCGTTGACGACGGCACAGATAAAGTGGACATGGATGTGTCATGAGTTTGAACATGAGGTGGCGAGCAGATCACGCCGAAAAGTGATCGAAACACCGCAGACTCACTTCACGCAACGGACAGAGAGAAGCGGGAAAAGTGGAGCTTTGCCTACACGATCGGCTTCGGTATCTCAACTTGGGCCCACGTTTTGCTACATATGAGCAGACGGTCACCTTCAATCATGCGTGGTGACCGCGAGAACTGCTGCTGAACGACGGCGCCTTCGCCATAAGGTCGCCCTCCCGCCACCTGGATCCCTAGCCGATGGATGACTGACCGGCCCACGGCCGGCGCTAGCGAACTCAACCGAGCAGTCACGATGGCGGCCGCTTCAGGCGTCGGTCTAAATGACTCTGAGCGGCTCACGAGCTTTCACTTTCTCAAGGACAAGGATGATACAGCAGAGGCTACATTCACTTTCGGGGGCGTTGGCGACTTCTTCAGCAAGGTTCGCTCGGCCTGGGTCGCTGGAACTGCACCCAAGGATGATGCACGCGACGGTGCAGATGTTGAGGCTCTGGACCCAGTGGCTCCGCAGTGGGCGGATGTCAGATCTCCAGGAGAGGCGGAAATCATATGCCTATTCCTGCCAAGTCGCGAAGGCAGCGTTACGAACGATGGAGGAAGCAGCAATCGTGCGCGAAATACGCCAGCGTCAAGCACGATGCCATTCAAGGGTAGAGTCAAAGTGCAGCCAAGCAAGTCAGATCCGAATTCTTACAAACGAGGGCATCGCCAAGCTCCTTCACTTGCGCTGCGCACCATTGGATCGATTGGGCTGTCCAGCTCGGCTGTCGCGTCCATCACCCCGGCTGTTGCGCTCACGTCTAATCACTTTTCATACCTCGCTGGAGCTCCGTCCATGGTCGATGCTAGCATGATGGTGGAAGATGGTGTCAGCACTATAGCTGATAGTCCTTCGATCAGCGACCGATTGCCACAGGGCGATGGAGATACCCAGCTCGATCACAGTGACGATGATGCGGACGAAGGCGATGTACTTGGCTCACTCAATGTCAACCGACGGTCGGCGTACGGCCTTGGGCTGCACAGGACCCCGTCTCTACCATCTTCGGATTCGATAGCAAACGGAATGTGGGGCATGTCCACCATTCCAGGATTCCCGCTATCACGCGGCACGCTGGCAGACGATGCGCGCAGTATACACAGTAACAGTGCAGCTTCAACACGCCAGCGCGGGTTGGGTAGCAACAGGTACGACTTTCAAACGGCAAGTAGTGACTATGGTGGACGGACCACGCCGACGAGCAGCGCGGCGGTACACGGTCTACAGACAAGCGCAGACGCAATCTGGCGAAGGATCAGAGGCGAAGGCCTTAGTAAGAAATTTTGGATGGCCGATGAGAATGTCAAGGAGTGCAGGGAATGCCTGTCCTACTTTACGCCTTTCAGACGAAAGCACCGTGAGCCAAAAAAATGATTGCTGCCCAATTCCGACTCAATTCGCTGACATAGAGTGCATCTCAGATTGCCGACTCTGCGGCCAGATCTACTGCAGCAGATGCGCTTCACACATCATTCCCGGTGTCCGCTTTGCCAACGATGGAATGATCAGAGTGTGCAACTTTTGCATGCGCATGCTGGAAGAGTACGATGCGGAGGAGGCGGGCTCGACGTTCGGCGGCACAGTGCCCGTTCATGGCGAGGTGTCACTCCATAGGCGGCCTTCACTTCGACATACATTCACCGGCACCACTAAGGTGCTTCCGGGCATGATCTCTGCACCGCTCGAAGCTCAGGTCAAAGCCCCGCAGTCACAGTTCGCTGCTAATCATCTCTTCGCACGAGCCAACATCAAGTCCGATCATGGGATTCCCCATGGAGCTGTCGCTTCTATTCTACGTCAGCACGAACGTGACATACGTGCTTCAGAGCTTGGTGCGGATCATGGCGGTGAGGTGACCCCTGGGGTACCCGACGCAGTCAACACCGCCGATGTACTTGCCTGCTCGCAAGAAGGCGCGCTTTCATCAGCGCACGACGCGCCAGCGCCGTTCCGGAAAGCGTTGAGAGAGGAGCCCAGCCCGACATTGGATGCAGAGGATCCAGCTCCTGATAGTCCTCACCCGGCAAACGAACCGTCTTCCGGTTCGAGAGCAGAAGAAGCGCACCAGCAACCGTCCACACGGCCTTCGCTCGCAACGCAAGCGGCTGTGTCGCATGCCTTGAACATTCCGTTCCCGAAATTGTCCACGACCGGCGACATCGCTTCGGATCACAATGTCGCTGCCTTTTATCAGACTGACATCTCAAGCGATCCAAGAGTTCGACTTGTTGGTGAGGGGCTCTCGCACACACGGACTCGCTTGCGATCCCGCGCCGATCTGCTTCGGGATGACGATAGTCTTCCTCGCTCCGAAGGCCGGCACTACATGTCCCGCAAGGAGGGCACGCTTGGGTTCCATCAAGAACCTTCCTCTGCGACTTGGCAGACTGAGCTCAGCAGCGCAAGCCTCGCTCACTTGACCACCATGGCACGCCAGACACTCCAGCATGCTAAAATCAAGGACGTTGATGATTGGAGCAAGGTCATGATTACTCTCGCGCTCAAAGCAATTACTCGTGTCAAACCAAATGCACGCGCCGGGGAAGGTATGGGCATCCGTGGATACGTGAAAATCAAGCGCATCCCAGGGGGCAAACCCTCGGACACACAGTATGTCGAAGGTGAGCCACGCAAGGATAGAAGATTCTGTTGGTTGCATCTGCATCTCATATTTTATTTCTCTCAGGCTTTGTTTGCAGCAAGCATGTTGCCACCAAGAAGATGGCGCAGAGCTTGCCGCTGAGCCACGCGCGTGTTATGGTCATACAGTTCCCGATCGAGTTTCATCGACCAGACACTCAATTCGTGTCCCTGGAGCCGGTCATCGCACAAGAGCAAGAATACACACGACTCCTTGTTGCGAGGATCCTCGCATTACGCCCTCAGCTCCTCGTGGTGGAGAAGACGGTCTCACGTCTGGCCCTTGAGATGCTCGAGGATGCCGGTGTCATTGTGGTCTGGAGTCTCAAGGCAAGCGCCGTGGAGGCCATCAGTCGCTGTACACAAGCCGATATCATTACTTCGGTCGACAGACTAGCACTAGAACCACGGCTTGGGCGCGCAACAGCATTTGACGTGCAGACATACAACATCGTTGGGGTGCCAGAGGCCAGCAAATCTCTCATGCGCTTCGAAGGTCTGAATCGGAATCTCGGCTCGACAATTCTTCTTAGGGGTGCAGGACCTGAGAGCTTGCGTCGCGTCAAAGTCATCCTCGACCTCTTGATCTTTATCGCTTACAATTTGAGGCTCGAGGAGCACCTTATGCGCGATGAGAATGCAGCCTTGCAGCTTGCGCGAGAGCTTCAAGATACCGATGAAGTAGTCGCAAGCACGCGAATTTTGGCAGCTGCCAAACGCCAAAAACGGATGGCACAGCAAGAAGCGCGATGCATCGAAGGAGCGGGGCTATCTTCCCGAACGCAGCACATCTTGCATATGTACGATGGAATACTCGTTAGCGCATCTGCTGCCGTCAGAGTGCCGCCTCCTTACCCACTGGCCAAGATGAGGGAGATCGCCGATCATCTCGCGCACCTCAAAAAGCTGTGCGATGAGGAGGAGGTGGCACGTATACGTGCAGAAGAGCAGCATGACAGCGCTGCTATGACGCCTAAGGCTGAAAAGTCCGCAGCCGAGGGCGGACTTGACGTGTCATCGGGAAAGTCCAGTGCTTGTCCGTCTCCGAAATCGAAGGCATTGGACCTACGAGCCATCATGCAAAAGCCAGAAGAGGTTGCTAGGCGCGTCGAGTTCGACACGGAAAGAGCTCGATTCAGAGCTCAGATGCGTAGCTGGGAGCAATACTTGGACCGCTGTCCCGATGCTGTTACACCCTTTGCTCATCAACGGCTGGTCATGCTGGCTGTGACCTCGTGTTCGAGCACATCGAGTCCCTGCAGTGGCCCATCGCTCCACCAAGTCGATTACTACGGCTTTGGCGACGAGACGCTCGGCCAGTACCTTGAACGCCACTGCAATGATGCTGGGCTCATTTGCCCTGCTAACGGCTGCGACAAAGAAAACCTTCTGCACTACCGTAGCTACGTGCACAATGATACGAGAGTACAGGTCATGATGGAGCGCTTCGTGTGTCCCATCCCTGGGAGCGAGGGTCGCCTCTTGGTCTGGTCGTACTGCAAAGAGTGCGGAGTCGCCACTTCAGTGTCGCCCATCAGCGAAGAAACGTGGTCGTACTCTTTCGCCAAGTATCTCGAACTACATTTTTACGCTGCTGACAATTGTCGCACATCGGTGTGCACCCATCATTTTTTTCGGGATCATGTTCGCTATTTCGCGTACCGGAACCTTGCCATACGCTTCCACACTGATCCTATTCAGACCCTTGAGGTCACAATGCCAAACTTGCGCCTGCTCAGCCGGCCTGACTTGCGCTGCAAGATGAAGAATGACGAGGCATTAAAGCTTCAACAGAAGAGTATGGCATACTGGAATAGCGTGCTTGCTCGTCTCGAAGCGTTGAGCGTTGAAGTCGGGGTCGAACGCGATCAAGCTACGCGGCAAAATGGTCAAGCGATGCTCACTGACTTGATGGCAAGGTTCAAGGAGGATTCTGACCAGATGGACTCTGCCTTGCGCAAGGCATACTTGCAGGTGCGCCTTTCGTCTCATGGCTTTTCCCCTGGAAGACTGCAACTGACGCGTTGTTCTCCAGAGCTCGGCAACCACGGCGTTGTCACTGAACGTCGTTGTGCGACAACTTCAGGACAAGGTCGTTCAATGGGATGTGGCATTTGTCGAATTCGAGCGAAACTTCCTCCCTTGCGAAAAGGACGTCCGGCGCTTGACAGCGAGTCACCTGAAGCGCATGTTTTCGGAAAGGGAGAACGCTGAGAGACTCGGAGACAGGCTGCCAACGGCAGCTGAGCTGGACGAGCATGCGGGCGACAGCTCAGAAGCACCTTCAAGGGCTGAAGGCGCGAGCCCACCAGTCGGCACACTGCCAAACGATTCATCTCTCACCGTCGGGTCCGAAATTGCGGCGCAGGGCATACCACATCCCAGATCGTCTGCACCTCCAGGGTCTCCAAGGCGAGAGGGCAGCGCAGCAGTTGCATGCGGGGGGAATACGTCAGCGGACGAATCAGCGGTCGAAAGCCTGCGACCCCGTCTGCCCCGGCCCCTTGCTCTTGATGAGAGCTCCTGTACGGAGAACGACTTGAGTAGCAACGTCTCCGGATTGGTGAAACGCTTTGAGATTCCGGCTAAGGGGAAATTATTTGCAAGTTCAGCTGCTGAGGATACTCCTAGGCTTTCGGCCTGTCGGCCTCATATGCGACGCCTCAAGTCCGAGCAAACTCCTGGCCCAGTGAAGAGGATCGCAAGCATACCTCATCCCATGCACTCTGACAATGAGGACGTCAGGACGCCGGCAGCGCATAGTCAAGCAACCACTCCTACTGTATCTCGACGAGGCTCCGCTCGTGATAGTCCGATAGCGCGCACAGCAGGTGTGCAGCGTACGCGCTCCAACTCCAGGCGGCTCGACGGTGATAGAGCCCCTGTCGCCAAAGCAGGACCGCCTCCGAGCAGCTATCGTCCCCCTCGCATGAATGAGACTGCGCGTAGCGGGCGCTCGAATAGTCGTCCAAGTACAAACCGCTCGGGAGGCACCTTGAGCCGCAAGAATTCGTCTGATAATGAGCGCTCCCAGCCCCAAGGGCCATCAGGAAGTATAGTCAAGCAGCGTCCAAACAGCAAAGAGGCTTCGAAAGACACAGTCTTTCCCAGCCGCTTGCCAACGAGCACTCGCAAGGATACAGCGGGGGCCAGAAGCAAAGTCTCAACAATTGCGCGGCACTTTGATCGCATCAGTCGGGAAGCCGAGCGTGAGCGAGAGCACCAGCGCCAGGCGATGGCATCTCGCGCTCGCCGCGCGAGGCCGGTAGCATTCACACAGGCCCGTGTCGAGGTCTTTCGCAGCGTTCGCGATGCTGTTAAGGATGATGAGAGCGATAGCGACCGCAGCTCGGAAAGCTCCAAAGCAGGCGATGCTGAAGACGAGGATGAAGATGGCACTGATTCAGAAACAGTTGCAGACCATTCAACGGCCAGCCAAGTTGTTCCGCCCACCGCTGCCGGTGATGTCGATCCCGGAGATGATCGACCAGACAGGCTCACCCCTCCCACGGACGTCATGACAATCCAGACTCGCATGGGCGGCGAGAAGGGCCAGGACCCTGATGCGAGTTCTGTTACTAGTCAGGGTCAATCGTTCATGTCGTCTACACTCCCAACGCACGCTCGGAGTTTCCTGCTCTCGGATGGCGAGACGTCGGGCTACGAGCGAGGTTCTCTCATCAAGGCGATCTCAGGCCTCTGGGCCGTGCGCGGTGGAGAGCCTGTCCCGCTGTTGGAATATCCCATGTGAGTGCTCCCCATTTGTCTTTTTTTTTTCTCAGTCACCTCGCTTATTCGCCCATCGCCATGTCAGGCTCGCAACGGAGCATGTGTTTGCAGACTCGCAGATCATTGTGCGCGAGGACGAGCCCTCGTCCATCATCGCATTTACGCTCAGTTCCAAGAACTACTCGGACAAGCTGAAAAGTCTGCAGAGCAGCACTGCACGGCTAGCGGATGTGGACGAGTCGTTCATGCCAGGGGACACGACTGAGAGTGAAGGGTGGGGCTTTGTGAATGCGCCCATGCCTTCCGAACCGAATGACCTAGAGATGGCCATGAAGCGAGCGGGAGGGACGCATTTCCGCTTTGGTGAGTTAGGGGGACTTTCTACAAAGAGCAACCCAGTTGGTCACTGACCTTGGATCCGGCTGGTTCATCAGAGTTCGAATCGGGCTCGTCAAGCTTCTGGTGCCGCATTTTCTTTGCCGAACAGTTTGATGCGCTACGCCGCTCGTCCGGGTGTGGAGAGACGATTATTGAGTCGCTCAGTCGTTGTCTCAAGTGGGACAGCTCTGGCGGTAAATCAGGCGCTGCATTCCTCAAAACGCGGGATGACCGATTGGTCGTCAAGCAGCTCTCGCGATACGAGATGGATGGGTTTTCCAAGTTCGCGCCTGCGTATTTCGATTACATCGCCAACTGCTTCTACCGCGACCGGCCAACGACGCTGGCAAAGATCTTTGGCTGCTTCCGCATCGGCTTCAAGAATCCGCAGACGGGCAAGACGCTGAAGATGGACTGCCTTGTGATGGAGAATCTATTCTACGGGCGTGAGATGAGCAAGATCTTCGATCTGAAGGGCAGCATGCGCAATCGTCACATCCAGCAGACGGGCAGGCCAAACGAGGTGCTGCAGGATGAGAACCTGGTTGAGCTCGCTCATCAGAACCCGCTATTTGTGCGAGAGCACTCGAAGCGGCTGCTCAGGGCTGCCCTCTGGAACGACAGCCTGTTCCTGGCAGACATGAATGGTGCGTGAGGTCTCGGCAGGGCTGGGCGGGCTTGCGTGCTTGCCACACAACAAACATCTGAGATGCGTTTCTTCTCCCCTTTCCAGTGATGGACTACTCGCTCGTCGTTGGCATGGTCAAGGACAAGTCGGAGCTCGTCGTGGGCATCATTGGTTAGTCCAGACTGACAGCAGATAGGCGCATTTCTCCTGACACGTCTCTCGCCCACTCTCTCAGACTTTGTCCGCACGTACACTTGGGACAAGCGCGTGGAGAGCTTTGTCAAAGAGGCTGGCTTACTCGGCGGCACGGGTAAGGGCGAGCCGACGATCGTGAGTGCGCTTGAACGAGTTCCGGAACCAGCGCTGCAGTAGCTAATCGACAAAATTGGCTCAGATCACACCGCGGCAGTACCGCAGCCGCTTCCTCGCCTTCCTCGATCGCAGCTTTGTGATGGTGAGCTCACATGGCAACATGCTGTGCCGCGGATGAGTGGCTGTCCGCAGGCGCTGACTCAGTTCTCTCCCGCTCCTGATCGCATGACAGACGCCTGACGCGTGGTTGCCCTCGACTTGGGCGCATCAGTAGAGTTTGTTCGTTGACCGTTATATCCATCCTTGACTTGCGACTCCCAGCAAGCAGAGCATGTAGCATGTTCGATGGGATGTCAGTAGGGCAATGTTCACAGCATGAATTGGTCCGTAATATGCACTTTGTTGTACTAGCATATAAAGGTTACAGCAACCATATGATGGTCACGATGAAAAAGGAAAGTGTGTTGCACTCGCAGTCATCTCGACGCGTCGGTTACGCGTGAACGGACCAAGAGAGAGAGAGGCACGACTCGTGACGCCGACTGTCCCAGTGCCTTGCATCACGGGACACTGCTTCCACGCATGCAAGGCTTTAATGTAGCGACGACTAAAGATAAAAAGGTCCAGCCACTTTTGGACTTTTGATGGAATGTTCGAGGGTGGGCAAGCACCAGCGCAGTGTCCAGATGTTTTTCGGTTTTGCTTGGATTCACACCCGGTGATTAAGCCAGGGCGAGCATGGCACTGAAGCTGTCCTCTCCACTGCTGGTGCAGGTGAATGCACTGTCTATGCACGGCTGGGCCTTCCAAGCCACATCAAGGCAGGCTGACCAGGAGTTGCCACACTGCCCAGCAGTGCCCCACAAAGCCGCTGCCCGCCAGCGACAAGAAACTTGCCTCTCTCGCTACTTTCCATTGTTCCAGCACCCAAATTATTCCGCTCCATGAAGAGCTTCGGAGATTCTTGAGAGGCGGGTTTGTTACAGGTGGCATGTCAGCTTGACCTCTGGAGGCGCTGTCCTGTGGAATGTGGCCTGAGGAGCGGCTGGTGCTCGTCGGTATCGAACAGGGCTTCCACTTTACCAGCGCGGGGAACTGGTAAGTACGTCGTGTAACATACACATAAGCAGGAAAACGGCTCAACAACCAACATGAATTGACTGAACCCTACAGGCGGACAGGATCCGTGATGAGCACGGTGGCCACACAAGTTTTGGTTGCGTTTCCCGTTTTGCGAAGGTGGCGGAGAGGGGACGGGGAGTCTGGAGAATGAGATGAGTGCCTCTACCCCGGGAAGGAGAGAGATAAACTTGTCCGGTGTGTATGCCTGCAAGATGCAACTTTAGTGTAGCCATTGTATGTAACCTGTTCAACTGCAACTCGTTTGATCAACATATGTAGAATCGGTTCTCTGGAGTCAGGTCTGTACATGGCTAGAGTCTAGACGCACTTCTGATTACGATTTCTCGGGTCAGGCCCAAATAACGGTAAAACCTAGCGCTAGTTCTCCCAGGAAATCAAAGCGCCGGCAGGCAAGGTCCATTTTCCGGCGGGTTTTGTCCTACCTACTATGTACATAAAATCTACTGAGGAGATGAACCACTCATCGCCAAGCTGATGGGCTTTGCGCAGAGTAAAAAGTGTATTCCAAAAAGGACCCATCCAGATTCCTCCCCCTCCAGTGTGTTCAACTCAGAATCCAATCCATCCAACACCTGGATTGTGGATACCGACGGCATCTGCTGCTTGCACAACAACGCCATCCGTCCCCTCCACAAGCCTCGTCCGTTCCTTTTCCATCCATTGCCTGTCCATTGAGTGGATTGGCTGGTGCGTTCGTTTGGCAAGTCATCACCTTTTGGGCCGCCGAAACGCCGTCCTGTTGTGGCTAACAGCGGCAGCAAGCACACCCAAGGCTGATGATCAGCCTTCGTCGCTCGTCATCTTCTGTACCCGCCAGCCGCCATGCATCGTAGATGCGACCGACACCAACAAGGGCTTTCCACCAGCCTCCGGAGCAGACCCGCGCGGCAATAACAACATCCGGACTACGTACGTTAGCAGCACCCGTGGCCCCAGGGGGCCATGGAACCCGCCACCCATCACCCATCCTTCACCTCACGATCGGTGGCGTATCAAATGTTGACGCCGACCACGGCTAAGGATCCGCACGCACACATCCATCCTAATCATCCTACCCATCCATCCCTTCATCTCGGTTCCGGTCTCAGACCCGCAGCGGCCGCTGGCCACATACTATTCGCGCAAGACGGCACACACACTCGCGTCCCAAACACCAACAAAGTAAACGAGCGCAGTACACGTCCGGGGCAGCCAAAGGAGTAGCGCCTGCGGTGTGTTCGACGCAACTTTCCAGTCGAGGTCGTCTTCTATATATGAACGACGACGCAGGCTGTGTAGAGTCGAGGTCCATCTTCAACGCACCAACACAACTTGCTGTCGAACATATCCATTTTTATCATCATCACCCTGGCAGCAGCATTAGCAACAGCTCAAATCAGCGGTAGAGTCGGATCGTCATTACGCGCCCTTCTTTCCCCGGCTCCCCAGGCCTGCACATCTCTAGACAGCGTGGCAGGTGGTTGGCCCTCCTAAATTGACGGAGTAATTCGAGGTCCGCAGCAGTATAGTAACGCTCATCTTCAACTCCGACGACCTTCATTCAAGCTTCGCCAAGAGTCCTGCGCCTGCTTCTCCCCTCCTCTCCTTCTTGCGTCCGCTTTCCCCCTCCTCCTTTCTCCGTCCGCCGAAACCGCCATCTCCTGTGCTCCCTCTGTCAGCCTCTTCTCTCCTCCCGCAAGACGTCATACTTCGCGTCATATATGCCTGGGCGGTGCAGTCACAGTCACACCCATTCTTCCTTGCTGCAGTCCCTGCGCTTGCCATCTCGACTCTCTTCTATTCGCGGCACAGCAAAGCACAGCGCGGCTCCTTCGGTGTCTGCGCATCAACGCGACGTCGAGGCCGGTGAGCGAAGAGAGCGGTGCAGAAGCAAATCGGCTGATCCGGCTTCCGCTCGAATCTAATCAACCTCTCCTCATTATCTCCACTTGGTTCGAGCGCAGCAAGTGATCGGGCTCGGTACTCGTCCAACGAAATCACCACATCCGACTCCTGTTGCATTCGAGCTTCGACGCACCCCAGAAAAGAATACAATATCGGAAGACGACGTGTGAAGATACGAACCCAGCGTCAGTCTCCGTGCCAACCCCCTCCCTGTCATCCTCAGCTTCTTCCTCGCCACCACCTCGAGAAGCGATTTCGCGAACAAGCAAGGACGACGATAATTTCCATCATCGCATTGCATTATAACTCCTTTCGTCTATTTGTTGCAACAGTGAGCAAGGTCTATCGCACGACTTGCGCGCGGCAGACGCTTCTCACACTCTCATCGGTCAAGCTGGCTACCGAGTGAGTTGTGTACTTGTTAGTGGTGTTCGGTGTGGCCTCAGCCCATATGGTCGAATTGCTGACCTGTCTTCGCGATTCTGATGGCAGATTGTTTAGCTCAATTACCACCGTCCAGCTGCCGCTGTCCTCGTTTGAGCGCACAGCGTCACCAGCAGGCGGCATGTCGTCCTGGCAACAATATGCTTTACAGGCCGCGGCAGCAGCGGAAACGACATCCTCGTCGGCCGCAAATCAGCACTCGCCGCCTCACTCGCATCCACAAAGCACGCAGCTTCCGTCCATCTCCACGGCGCTGGCGCAAGGACCGAGTGCCAGCATGCCGCTCTCCTGCCCCTCCTCCTTGCCTTCCGCGCTCATTTCGGCGCCGAGTCCGCCCCGCTTTTACTCAATAGCCAGCACGAGTGCCGCTCTATTGCGTGCAGCCAATGCCAATGTGCATGGCCATGCCGGCGCCATCCTGCCGTATCCCGCCCACCTGACGCACGTGCCCATAAACTGGTCATCGTACCCGGCCATTTCGGACTATTCGCCGATGCCGATTCCTTCGACCGCCGCCGCCGCGCATGATCACGCACCGCACTTGGCGCCTGGGTTGCAACACTACCCGCGACTGGGCGCCGAGCTCTACACAGCCAGCGGTACGCATCCGCATCCGCAGCACCAGCTTTACGCCGCACATGACAGCGTCTGCACGGACGCCCCGCACTTTGGACCTGGCGGCAGTTCGCGCTACACGTCATCGAATGGCCTGCACGACTTTTCCATTTCACAAGCGCCAGGTGTCAGCGGTACGCTTGCCTCCAGCAGCTTGCTCTCCTCGACGCCGACCGGTATGGTGACGATGCGTGGGAGTTCACCGCTCGCGCCGCCAAAGGCGAAGCGCAAGCAGGTCAAGAACGCATGCACTAACTGCCAAAAGGCGTGCAAGAAGTGCGATGAAGGCCGCCCGTGCAGCCGCTGCGTCAAGTACCACCTTGAAGATTCGTGTGAGAACTCGCTGCGCAAGGAGCGAAAACGCGGCATCAAGCGTGGGCCTTACAAGCGCAGAGCGACGGCGAGGACCGCGCTTCTGAGCACGGATGCGAATGCGCCGTCTGCACACGCCAATGAGAGCCACTCGGTCGCATCGCTGCTCCCGCACTCGAACGTCTCGGCGCCCGTCGACGGGTCCGGGCTGTTCATCTCCGCTCACGCCGCCCCCACCGGCCTGCCCGCGTCCAGTCCATTAGGCGCGTCGTCTTCGCCTCTGCTGCTGCGTTCGTCTCTTCTCAGCACCAGTGTGCCGCCGCCGACGAGCAGTCCATACAACAACGTCACATCGCTGTTCCCTTCCGATCATGGCCCAGCTGCTCCTCAGCATGCGCAGTACCTGCCTGCGCGGTCTGATCCGCGCAATCGCGGCGGTGCTGTTGCAGGGACCATTCAATCTGGGCAGTTTGGCCCATCCGCGGGCGTGTACACGCAACCTGCCGCCCCCGAAGGGCCACCGCAGTCGCTGGCAAGCCACCATCATCGGTTGCACAGCGATAGCAGCAGCAGCTTGGCCACGCTCAGCTCCGGCTCGACCGCCACTACCGGCAGCGCCAGCAGCAGCACCCTGCTCACGCCGCGCACGCCTCTTGGCATCTCCTCGGGGGCTTTAGCGCTGCATTACGTGTCCAGCACCGTCGTGCCTGGGAGCAACGCTGCCGTCAGCAACGGCAACGGGCACGGCGGCCTGGTCCAGCATGCTGGGCCCAGCACGCCGAACATGCTTCCGCATCCGGCTGCAGCTGCGCTCATCCCCCCACCGCAGGGGATTGACTTGCAGACCGGCATGCCAAAGCCGTTCCCGCTCAAGATGCCACCGAGCATCGGCACTGGGCGCAATAAAACAGCAGGAATCGTCGTGAAGGGCGAGTACGATCAGCAGCAGCAGCGCGTCATCGTCGACGGTGAACACCCTGCGTTCATGCAGTGGCAGTACCCTTTGGGCGGCCATTGAAAATGTCCAAGCATCACTCATCCTTATTCTCTCCTATGGCCCACTCCTGTCGTCTCACTCCCACCCTTGGAACGTCGCATTTTTTTCTACGCAGCGCCAGCGCCCTCGCATTCCATGCTAGGGCCAACAAAGTTCTCGACCTTTTTCCACATCCAGCGACACCTACTTCTCCTCCTTGTTTTCTTTCCCCCCTTTGAGACAGCAACACGCAAAACGGAGATGTTTCAGTGATAGAATACCATTGTAACGGGTACGCACGGCACACGGCAGTCGCCGCTCAATTCCCTGCCCGTCTTCAAGTCTAGACAAACTACATGCGATCAGCATACAGTTGTACGAACAGCAGGCGCAAGAACAGATGTAAAGGGCTTCATCTCCGACAAGCAGTGCAATGAAAGCAAATTGTGATTGCTCATTGTATGTAATACTAGTATTGAAGTCACAAGAAATTGCGATCAACCAAGATCCATCATGATCACTTTCGATTGACCCACTTGTCTGCGATGCTGATTTTTGCTCAAGCCCTGTAGCGGCAGGCGAATCTTCGCACAAAAACGACCGCGCTTCTCATTACTGCACGCCTGCATGTGCCTTTTTAAAAGACTCGCGATCGAACGAATACGTAGAGACTGAATCGAGCGGAAGAGCACCGCGAGGTCAAAGGCACAGTCGCTGATGCGATGCCGCGTTGGGCTTGTAAGGCTGCACTTTCCAAGGTGATGCAGACATCGTGCGAGCGGAGCCTTGATCTGACTCGTATGCGTGAATCGATTGAAACGTCTGGCTTGCCTTATGACACTTGCATGCTTGACATGGCCATGTCTGGGCGTGAGCAGTAGTGGACCTTTAGCTGCAGGTGCGCTCAGCCAGCGCGGGAAAAGGGCGGCATGAATACAAAGCCTCTGCGCAGGCGATCGGCAAGAAATTGGGCCCTGTAGCCACCGCCCCTTGCGCTTCATCCATCAATTCCCGGTGCTGGAGGGAAACAAGACCAACCGGATGCAGCGAAACATCTGCCTGGTCGCCATAAACCTAGTCTTGCTCCTCGGGCGGCGGTCCACATGGTTGGAGCATCCTCTGCGTGGTGAGACAAGGGAGGTAACATGCATCGTAGCGTCAGCCAATGGGTTCTTTCCGACAGATCCTCCCGCAGCGAGGAGCACGTCAAAAGTGAGATGTCATGCCTCACCTCGCAGAGCTCAAATTTTACCCGTGCCTTGGATTCTCCATCGGCGAGCGCGACATATGAGTGTAGGTGTGGATGCCCGATTATCGAGGCCGACGTGTCGCGGTGCTGGTGTGTGATCCACTCACTGGTTGAGGGTGAAATGCCAGGGTAGAGATAAGGGAGGAAGCACCGCGAAGATGCAGAGTCAGTAAATCGAGCGGGAGGGGAGCGAAGCGGAGAGGTAACAGACGTTGTTCCGAGTCTGCACGCTCCGAAAATCCAGCACCCGACTTACTACTTGTTGATGTCAGGGTGAATAGTACCCGTGTAGCGAGCATGTAGGTGCTCCAGCTGGGTGTTCGCCGTGTATCGAAGCTCTGACTGCCAGAGCGGCGACCCAGACGAACGGACGGAGGACACGCACACCCAGATATAGACAAGCCATTGTCAGCCACCGGAAGCGGGAATGCTGAATTGTGAGAACCCGAGCGCTCACCATCTTTAGAAGTGGATCACAGACGCGGAGATCCGATCAGGCGGATAAGCTCGTGAAGTTTGCAATGCATAGACCTGCATTCGATGGAGCTTTGAAGGTTAGAAGCATGGCTTGCATAGGGAAGGGTGCCAGTGCAGAGTGAACTCGAGGTGCAGCCGAGATAACGGGCGAAAGAAAAGCAAGTCAAGCTCATCTGGTTCTTCCTTAGTTCTCTGGGATGGAACCAACAACACCACCGTGAAAGTCCTGTTGTCCCCGACTTGGAGAGCTAAGGTCTCGAGCGCGCGGCCGCGCTGAGCGCATCAACCCTCTCCGTAGCGCGTGACCGGGTCCTACTTCACCGTGAGAGGGGAGGGAGGAGGCTGGCCACGCAATGCAACTCGGGTCTTTACCTCAGACCAACAGGATTCTTGTGTATGGCAGGACACCTTGGATCCGACGTAGTGCTTCATACGTGTCGTTGGCAACTACATCCCGTCGCAAGCCGAAAATATCATCCAAGCAGCCTTGCCGATTCAGCAGCAATCATGGACGAGCACTACGACGTTGTAATCCTCGGAAGCGGTGTGAGTAGGCATGCGAGACGCCGGCGGCCTAAGGGGTGAGGACTGACTGATAGCGCGCACCTGGCGTTCTGTGCTGGTCCCATCTGCTATAGGTGACCGAGTGCGTCCTGTCGGCGCTGCTCTCCGTCGAAGGCAAGAAGGTATTGCACATTGACCGGAACGACTACTACGGAGCAGAGTGTGCCTCGCTCAACCTGACCCAATTGTACAACAAGTTCCGTCCTGGCACGGAGCCTCCCAAGGACCTTGGCCGTGACCGAGACTATGCCATCGACCTCATTCCCAAACTAATGATGGCCAACGGCGAGCTCACCAAGATGCTCGTCCACACCGACGTCACGCGCTACCTCGAGTTCAAGCAGATCGCTGCGAGCTATGTGTACCGCGACTCGAGGATCGCAAAGGTCCCCTCGACAGAGATGGAGGCCGTAAGGAGCCCACTCATGGGCCTGTTTGAGAAGAGGCGCGCGAGAAACTTTTTCCTCTTCATCCAGAACTGGAAGGACACCGACCCATCGACGCATCAGAGTGAGTGCCGCGTCGGCAATAACGCCGGACCCAGCAGCTCATCACATTTACTCTGTAGCTCTTGATCTCGACTCTGATTCGATGGAAAAGATCTACAATTACTTTGGTCTGGAGAAGGGTACTAGAGACTTTATCGGGCACGCTATGGCGTTGCATCTCGACGACTCGTGAGTACATGAAGGCAATGCGGTTGTGGTTGGGAAATGTCACTCACGCGCTCTTGGCCTTGACAGGTATGCCAAGCGACCGGCGCGCGAGACGTACGACCGTATCATCCTTTACACCTCTTCAATGGCTCGCTACGGCAAGTCGCCGTACATCTACCCTCTGTACGGTCTTGGTGAGCTGCCCCAGGGCTTTGCGCGCCTCAGTGCAATCTACGGCGGTACATTCATGCTGGACAAGCCGGTCGACGAGATCGTCGTCGACGAAAGCGGCAAATTCAAGGGCGTGCGCAGCGGCGAGGAGACAGTGCAAGCCGACATGGTCATTGGCGACCCTTCCTACTTCCGCGGCAAGATCGCAGGCAAGGAGAAGGTCCGCGAAGCGGGCAAGGTTGTGCGCGCCATCTGTCTGCTCAAGCACCCGGTGCCTAACACGGACAACTCCGACAGTCTGCAGCTGATCATCCCGCAAGACCAGGTGGGCAGGAGACACGACATTTACATATCGGTCGTCTCGAAGAACCACAACATCTGCGCCGAGGGTCTGTACATTGCCTCGGTCATGACCATTGTCGAGACCGATCGTCCGGAACTAGAGCTCAAGCCTGGCCTCGACCTGCTCGGCCCCATTCATGACAAGTGTGTTGCCTCTGCAAAATATTCTGTTGAGAGGAACCTTGCCGACATTGTGCTGATCGTCTGTCTTCCTCATCTCGCGCCCAGGTTCGTCGCGGTGGCACCGATCGAAGAGCCGGTAGACTCGGGCACGGAAAACAATATTTTCATTACGCGCTCTTATGATGCCACGTCCCACTTTGAGACCGTCGTCGATGATATCAATGACGTCTGGAGGAGGGCGACGGGAGGCAAGCCCCTAGTGCTCAAACGGCGAGACGACTCAGAGGGCGCTCAGGTTCAGGGTTGAGCACCGTGTCAGATGGAAGCTTGAGGAGACTCAACACGAGTCGGGAGATTCGGAAGAGAGTAAAAGGTGTATTTTGCGCCTGGACACGATTTCAGAGCAACTAGGGAGCCCTCGTCTTGCTATTTCTCATGCAGCCCTCGTTGGGTTGACGCCTTGATGGAGCCCAAAGGCCGGGTCCTCGATGCTATGCGACAAGTTGATGAGGAGGCTGCTTCGGTGTGCGTTGTGCGCCAGTGGATCGCCAGCCTAAGATCGACTGTTTTGGTGGGTGCAACTTACAAACGGCCCAATGAGACTTGTCACGTCGAGTGGGTGAAATGGCATCTTGGATGGATGCAAGACGCATGACGGGGCTAGCTCTGGCCAGGAAGTTTGCTCCCAATAGATGAAGGGGCGAAGGCCGAGAAAGCACTGACAAGCAGCAGGCATTCCGGGATGGAGCACTGGTCCACCGAGCAAGGGCGATCAAGCAAGTCGATTGGGTTGGCGTCGCGAGGGTCGATGTGAGGTTCAGCCCCGATGGGGCACACGCCGCCGGTTCGGCTCTCGTTTCTATTGACGCTTCACACATCGCACATAGCCCGCGCCGCTATTTTGCACCAAAAAACGCTCCACGCGACGAGTGCGCACCGTGATTCCCAAGCATCATGCCAATGATCTCAGTCCTCTTTATTACATCCTGGGGTGCGCTGGCCAGACTGTCGGAAGCTATCCGACGCCGTGACTGACTACAGCTCCCAGGAGTCCGAGCTGGACGTTCGCTACTGGGCTTACACCAGGGGGGGGGCGACGATCAAGGGCTCGCCAATCTGTATTCTGGGAGATCACCAGTCCCTAGCGAAATCCGGGCAAGTCATGCAGCCTCGAGACGAACGCTTCAACATGCGGATATTGTGCAGTAGATGGCGCACGACTCCCGCGGCACGAGCGATCTGAGTCAAATTTGATCCGAGACCTGCTAACACCCCTCGCGGAGGCTCAAAGTATCGTATAGCATACTACGGTCTATAATGCCGACCACGTAAGGCTGGTCAATGCTCTCTCCCTCGGCGTGGCCATGACTGTTCAGATGCGGCTCCAATGGCTGAAGATGATATCTCTACGCCAAGTCGAGACGTCCTGCAGACCTGTCCGTCGTGCACGCGCTCCTTCTTGGCGCTGATGCGGTGGTTTCCCACAGTCCGACGCAGTGGTGAAGGCAGTGTCGCACGGTCTATGCAAGGGGGTGAAATCGGACTACAAAGGGAGAGCATTGTATGTAATTACTTGCCGCAATCACGTTGAACAAAGTTTGCTCGCATACACATTCCATCTCTGGACGGACTTTCATTCGGCGAATTGGTTGAGGAAAGCGTTTCGCCAGGCTCGGGGGGATATGTGACCATCGGGAAATTACGGGTTACGTAAGTATATGGCGCCCAGTTCTCTCATGCATTTTGCGCAGACTGTGCAATGGTTAGCACCAGCCTTGTCACACCACGCCACTCGTACGAAAAACACAGCACACTGGCGCCTGATGCCAATCAGGATTTCTTGTTCCTTGGCGAGGAGTTTAGGCGTTCTCACGACAATGGGCAGATGTACAGTACACCTTTGGGGTGCAGGAGAGGTGGAAGAGGGTTCACGCTGAAGATGGTCTTGGGCGCAGGGAGCGACGGCGGATGACATGCTGCCACCATGCGAGGTGTGATACTCGAGCTGGGAGAGAGGAGCTGGAAGGACTGGTTGTGTCCCTTCCCCTGCCCATCTCGCCCACCCTAATATCTCGCTGGGCGGGGTGCTACTCCGTTCACTTGCCCATCAAAAGCACTGACCGTACGACCTTCTGCTGCAACATGCTTACCTCGCTCATGAGGAATATCGAGGCCTGCCTTTTGGATCTCGACTGCAGGTAGATAAGCGTCCTATAGGAGACAATGGCGGCGCCAACCGTCGAGAGACCGTCCACCGGGGGACAGGATATCCATCTTCTACCAGGATCGTTTCCTAGTTTGCCCTCAATCCCGTCTACAACCCCCAGTTATACGGGCTCGACTTCAGACGAAGCAGATCCGATCGAGCAGCCGCCTCTTGTAGTGGTGGAGGGTTTCTGCTGCACAGCCAACTCGCTCGTATGGGGCGATTTCCGCAACTGGCTCGACAAAGGCGAGCACTATTGGCGATCAGGCCGCGCCAAAACTGAAGCTCAACCTTGCGCCGAGTCATCTGCCTGCGAATCAATTTCAGCCTCGCCATCATACATATCGTCCATTTCTTCGAATTCGTCAAGCGAGCGCGCTCGTCTCCGCCCGTACCGTCCGCGCCGCGTCATCTTTGCGCCGATCGGCCCGGTATCTTCCATCCATGACCGAGCTTGCGAGCTGTTCTTTGCCCTGAAAGGCGGAGTTATAGATTATGGCGCCGAGCATGCGCGCGAGCATGGACATGCGCGCTTTGGACGGCGCTACGAGCGCGGCCTGCTGGAGGACTGGAGTCCGCAGAAGCCTGCACACTTTCTGGGTCATTCGCTGGGTGGTCCGACAATCCTCAAACTGCAAGAGTTGCTCAGAGAAGGGTTCTTTGACCAAGCGTCGGGATTGGCGTCGCCATCATCTCCATCAAGCTCTCGGTTTGCCGATAACTTGTCGGAGACGGAAGCAATTAGCTCACCGTCAGCAGATGCCATGGTCCTGAGCGTGACGTCCGTCTCTTCGCCCTTTCGCGGAACGCAAGTCGTTTACATCCTCGGCGAGAAGCCTCTTCCCTATCCGAGCGTTCGCTTCCTGTCTGCAGGAGACCTGCTCACGAAGGCCGTCCACTGCGCCGCGTACCTAAACATTGGTCCTGATCTGCTCAGCGACGCGTGGGGTTTCTCGAGGCGAGGCTTCATTGAGAGCAGCGCTGCAGTTGGAGGCGCTGACAATGCCGAGGCGAGAGACGACGCTGGAATTTGGCAGGGGCGAGAAAGGCCGCACTGGCAAGGCTTCCGTGGGTTTCTGAGGCAGCTCAAGAGGAGCGATTGGGCAGACGGCAAGGACTGTGCGCCGTGGGACTGTACCATCGCCGCCAGAGAAGAAGCGGAGAAACGCCCTATGTGGGGCGCTATTCGAGGAAGCCATAGCGCACGGACCTGGTATCGAAGCTACGCTGCATACATGACGATGCCTGCTCCCGCCTCGTCTTCAGCTCCCTCTCCATCTGCATCTCTTGGCATTGAAAAGGGCGAGCTTGCTCGAGGTACGGCAGGAATCGCTGCGGCGTTACCGCATCACATTCCCAAGCCATCAGCTTCGTTCCTTTCACCATTCACATTGACTTCGCGTCTGATGGGCCGGTACGACTTTGATCAGCTCGAGCCGCGGCCAGCCTTTTGGAACCTAGCAGCAGCACCTGCCACTGCCTTTTCATCACCACCGCCCACCTTGCTCTTCCTTGACAAAGCAAAGGACGAGCAAGCCAAAACCGATCAGCGCATTGTGAACGGCGAGGAGAGAGCCGCGAAAGGAGAGGAGGCGCAAGCCCCTCTGCCGGTGAATCCGTGGCATACCCTACTTCAATCGAGCAGTCAGCAGATGTTGACGCCAGAGGACGATCTGGTTCCCGTCGGCTACAGCAACTCCCCAAACAGTGCGCATCCCCCAGCGCTGGCGCAGGAGCCGCTCCTTGGCGGCGCGACACCTTCGCTAGCCAACCTCGGCAGCTCTGCTTGCATGACGCCGATGCTCAGTGCACGCAGCACATCCAATCCGTTCTACGACTCCACAAATGCGCACAGCAGCGTCCCTGGAGGAGGCGCAACTTCGATGCAGTCCCAGGAGCCGCTCGAACAGTGGTTCGCGAACGACGGCGTCGTGCCGCTCGCGTCGCAATACCACCCCGGGCCGTGCGAGGTAGGCAAGTGCATACATGCGGCGGGCCTGCCAGGCGCGACGCCGCGGGAGCTCGCAGTGAAAGATCAAAAGGACATGTGCGCAGCCGCAGCCGCAGAGGGTCATCATTTCGGGAACGTGAAGCCAAGGTCTAGAGACCCGTCCCTGTTTGAAAGCGGCATGAGGTCGAACGCAGACGCCGCCGACACGAATGCACCGCTTGAGCACGCTCGGCAGTCTAAGCCCCTTGTCCCACCGATGATGCAGCGCCAGGGCAGCGGCGCGCCTCGACCGCGTATCTGGGAGCGATCCGAGCTCGACGGCGGCTCAGAAAAGCAGCTTAAGAGCGCGTCTGGGCGTGATGCCGGCGGACCAGACAGCAACGTGAGCGGTAGCGGTAGCGACAGTGGCAGCATCAGCCCCAGCCACATTGGAGCGGCCGTTCTGGGCTCTGTCGCCTCCTTCACGAGAAGAGCGGTGCGCAAAGTAGGCAAGGCCCTCGTTGATCCCGCGCGCGACCCATATTTCCGGCCTTGCAACGAGATGCCTTCGTACACGGATCTCGAAGCGCAAAGGCAATCCGCCACGCAGCCATCTTCTCCCTCACCGCCAGCCTCGATAAGATCTTCCTCGATAGGATCTTCCTCGATACGATCTTCGTCGATAGGATCTTCGTCGATAAGATCTTCTTCGATAGGATCTTCCTCGATAGGATCGTCCCCGACAACCGCAGCATCAACGCTATACGCTGCCCCGCCCACCGCCTCGGGGAGAGCACCGCTGCCCGAACCCAACATCTGGCACACGTTTGTCGTTCGCGACACATCGCACGCGGCACTCTGTCCGCTGTGGATCGGCACGCAGCAGCAGCGCATTTTCTGGTCCGGCATTGGCAGCTGGCTGGCGTCTGTTGACGTGGCGTGGAAGGCAGAGGCAGGTGGCGATGGTGCTCGTGAGATTTCTTCGTTCGTCATTTAAAGATAAGGGATGTAATAAAGTAAATTTTCATTATCTGCAAAGTAAATCGACGGAATAGGATATGCAGGAGCGTTGATTCAGCTTTTGGCCCAAGGGCATGGACAAGGCTTGTCGCCATCAGCGGCGAGCGCGCCTCGATCGAGGAGTGCCAAGGCATTCTGCACTGCCTCATTGTTGACGTACAGCCGTCGGCGTTTCGACGCGCGCTGCTCGTCCTGCGCCGCTTGCTTGGACAGAGAGGCGGGCGGGAACGAGGAAGAAGCGTTAGTGTAGCCGATCGTGTCGCCAATCGAGGGAAGGTTGCCACCACTACTGTCGCTGCGGCTGAGGCTACCAGGGGCAGTAGAAGCGGGAGAGAGATGCTGCCACTGTTCATGCTGCGCCGTGACGTCACTTGACGCAAGAGGCGACGCCGCCGAGCAGCCTCGAATGTTAGCGAGCGCGTCGAGTCCCAATTGTTTTCTGTCGTTGCTGTTGCTGCCCCTGCCGCTGGCACCACGGTTCTGCTGTGATGCGGGAAGTGCTGCATGTACATGTGCATTCGCGAGCGTTAGCGAGCGACCCGCCACGACGTTGGCGAGCAGCTCAAGTCCGCCGGAAAACTGTTGGAAGTTTGGATGTGCGCGCAACTGACTGAATGCTTCTGGCACGCTCGCGCCGCCTTCGCTGCCGCCGCCGCTCTCTCCTCGTAGGTCGACGGTAGACGTGCAGTTCATGCCCTGCTGCGTGGCAGACTGAACAATGCTACGCCCATACGGAGCTGCAGATTCCGTTAGGCGCACACCCTCGGCTGATACGTTCTCGGGTCCACGCTCAAGCGCAGGATCCTCGGAGACCGCTGCGCAAAATGTAGCGAGGTCAGGGTCAGCGCTGCACGCTGCGCAGTTGCTCGGGTCGCCCGAGCACGCCGCCTGCTTCGGTGCTCGTATCTCCTGAGGCGCCGCGTACGTGTACGTATGCCAGAGTTTCGGGCGGCTGGCTCCTTGCTCTTTCGCAGCTGAGTGCCGCGCGAGGGGGCGCAGGAGCGGCAGTGAAGACGACGCAGACGCTGAAGAGGAAGCGGGCTGCACGAGCCAGAGTCTCGCCTTTGGCTTGCTGGCAGCGTTTGCTGCGCCGCGCCCGTGCCCTCCGGAGAGGGCCTGCTGGCGGCCGGACGCACGTGCAAGGGAGGTGGGCATAGATGTGCCGGTTCCCTTTTCTGGCATGGGTCTTGCGGCTGCAGTGTCCTCTTGGATGACCGCATCATCACCATCGGCATCAGCACTGCGTCCCTGAGCGATCCACTGTGTCGCCTCTGCTTCTTGCGTCTCGCCGCTGCTGCCGGTGGGTTGCGCGCCGCCCTGCTCAAAGTCGATGATGCCATCGCCGCGGCACGCGCAGTTGCCCTCCCCGGCGCAGAAGCCGCAGTCGCCCTCGTTTCTCCCCTCACTCGTCGGCAGCGGCAGCACGTGAGTTGGCGCCGCTGTTGCGACTGCGATGGGGACGGTGGAGGCTGTCAAGGAGAATAGAGACGACGAGGGCGAGCATGGCGGAGGGTGTGCAGGAAGCGCGCCAGTCGACGAGCCTGTGCTGGTGCCGGTGCGGATACATGCATTACCACCCGCTTTGCCGCAGCAGGCCAGTGCCGATTCCAGTGGAGACGGAGATGGAGGCGCGCCTGTGTTAGCAGACGACGCCATGGTGCGCAACACCGGAGACGGGTGCATGAGGCTATCATCGAGCATGCTGCAGGCGCACAGATGGGCGGCGCCGTGCTGCGCGCTGACGGGGGCCGTGCAGAATGTACATTCTCGATGCTGCACGGACGCTAGCGGCAATGCGAATGACGATGAGGGCGCCTGTTGGTCGCTCTTGGACCAGAAGCGAGACGGTGCCGCTGGCTGTTGATGCTGCTGCTGCTGCAAAGCACGCATGCGCGCTTGTTCATGTGCTGGGGCCTTGCATCCGACCTGCCTCGTTCCCGGCACGTGTTTGCCAACGCTGGTGGCGAGCTCGTCCTCCTCGCCTTGCTCCGTTCCCTCGCCGATCACAGCGCCCCACACGTCGCGCGGCAGTACGCAGCGCTCTGTACGAGCTCCGCAGCTGGCGCACGCGCTCTCGCTGGCGCTGGCGGCGTGGCCTTCGGCCCATGCGCGGACGCGGAGCGCGCGGGCACTCCAGGCGCGGACGCGGCTTGCGAGCACAGCATTGTTGGCGCGGAGGCGGTCGTTGTCTGCAC